CTATCCACTTCCAGAGAAAGAACTGATGGAGTCTGAATGCAGCTTGAAGTATAGTGTTATTTTTCTTGTGGTTTTTTTTTTGCTCTGTGTTTTCTTTCACAATGTGACTAATATGGAGATATATTTTGCATGACTACACATGTATAACCTTTATCAAATTACTTGCCTTCTCAATTATGAAGGAGCACAGAGAGGGTGGAAGAAAATTTAGAACTCAAATTGTAAAAAAAATAAAGGTTAAGATTGTTTTTACATGTAATTGGGAAAAATAAAATGTTAAAATAGTTTTAAATGAATTAAGGGTGTATAATTTAGAGGGATAATGTCTGATTGTGTGCTAGGATAATAGCATAGTAGCTAGAGTAAAACCATTGTACAAAACTATAAAGAATGAGGAAGTAGAAAAAGAGGAAACTCATACAGTATTTGCATTGACCACGAGCCAAAGTGGCTGATGTCTTTGCAAAGCTATTGTTTTATTTTAGTGGATCCTTGATCTCATCCCCCTTGTTCTGGCTCAAGTGGTGCCAATGGCAACCCATCTATCTTCCTGGCATGTTGCACCATCATAAAGTAAATAAAGCAAGTGCCAAAAAGCTATCCAAGTGGTAGAGAACATAACTAAAATGAATGTGGAAACTGAAACACAATAAAATGGAAAAGGGGTGTTTGTAAAAGTGGTTTCTTTAAAGTTAATAAGATGTATCTGAGGATTCCTTTTTGATTGTGGTGGTTAACACAAAATCTTGGGTGAAAATAACTGCTTCAAGCAAGTTCAGTTAAGGAAAAAAATCCATAAAGGTGAGGTGCAGGTCTAACTTCGAGGTGATCCAATCACTCTAAAAAACAAGATTTATGTTACGAAAGTGACTAAAGTGGTCATACTTTTTGACCCAGTGATCCCCTACTAGATATGTACTTTAGGAGGTCAAAAATAGAAAGTTTCAATCTATATCAAAATATTCATAGCAGCACTTTTTGTGGTAGTAAAATATTGGAAACAAAACATGCCCATCCCTTCGGGAATGTTTGAATGAACTGTGCTGTATGAATTCATGTAATATTACTGTGCTATGGGAAATGATGAATATCCAGAATTCAGGGAAAAAAATGGAAAGATCTGTATAAATTTTTGAACTGTGAAGTAAGCAGAAGGACAACTTACATAAGGACTATGAGTGTAAATGAAAAGATGGCTAAACAGAGGCTAAATCCTGAGCTGGAGCCAATAATAATGGTCCTGAAGAACAGAAAATGAAAATAGCTCCCTCTACACTGCAGAAAAATATAATATAATGAGAATAAGAATAAGAATAATTTATATTGCACTTTAAATATGCTAACTCATTTGATACAATCCTGTGAGGTAAGTGCTATAATTATCTCCATTTTACAAAAGAGGAAACTGAGGCAAAGATTAAGTTACTTGCCTAGGGTCACAGAGCTAGTAAGTATCTGAGACATGATCTGAACTCAGGTCTTCCTGACTCTAAGTCCTGTGCTGTGACCATAGTGCTCTCAAGCATACATTATACAATGGTATCATTATATTGGTTTCCTTTGTTCAAGTTTTTTTTTCTTTGTTACAAGGAAAATTTTAATTCTGGAGGCTGGATTGGGAAGGAGGGATCAAGAAATTAGTATGGTATAAAAATAAAATATATCAGTAAGACTTATTTTTTAAAAAGAATAAGTGCATATGATTTGCAGCAATAACTTTGGCGGTAGGGGAATGGAATAATGTCCGAGAGTCATTGAGGTAGAGAGCCCCTGTTTGGTCAACATACTCATTCCCTTGCTGGCTGGCTTCATGATGCTGAAGAATTGGTGTATCTCAGTTTGCAGGTGGGGTAAGAGAAGACCTGGAGAAAGACCTTGGAAAAGACATCACTGGAGAAGCAGAAACCAGGAAAATGTGCCCCTGGAGCAGAGAGAAGGTAAATAATTATCAAACCCATTCCTTTCTCAGAAGGAGGCAGGAAAGAAGTACTGACGTGAGGATTCAAGAGTTGAAGAATTCTCATTATGAATTTAATCAATAACATTGATAAGAAATGATTCCTATCAGTCTAGATAATATTAGAATGCTTTGAAGAAAGATGAATGGTGTTTGAGAACAGAGCTAGGGGTAGAGTATTTATTTCCCATGGAACTTCCTGCTCCCATATGTTGTTCCCATCTGGCAACAACAATCTGTTGTTTCCTTTTTATCTTTGTTCTTGTTTAATAATAAGAATAAACGTTGACATTTCCACAGTATTCTACAGTTTACAGAGTGCTCTGCATATGTTGTTTCATTTGATGCTTAAAACAACCCTGTGAGGTAGGTAGCACAAACATTATCATCTCACAGATGAAAAAAATGAATTTTTGTTTTTGTTCAGTCATTTTAGTTGTGTCTGACTCTTCGTGACCCTATTTGGGGTTTTCTTGGCAAAATTACTAGAGTGGTTTACCATTTCCTTTTCCATCTCATTTTACAGATGAGGAAACTGAGGCAAACAGGGTGAAGTGACTTGCCCAGAGTCACACAGCTAGTAAGTGTCTGAGGCCCGATTTGAGCTCAGTTAGATGAGTTTTCCTGACTTCAGGCCCAGCACTCTATCCACTGTTCACTTTACAACTTATGAAGCATCATACATACATTAATTTGTGTGTCCCACAATAGCCCAGTAAAGGAGCCCCTATTATGTCTCACCTAGCTGCCCTAAAGAAAATTAATATTCAGTGTTTAAGTGACTTGTCCAAGATCACATTAGGTAGGTAGTGGCATGGATGAGATTCAAATACAATTTTTTTTGGACCCAACCCCTTTGTTCTCACAATGATGGTGTCCTGCACCAAAAATTCTTACCTAATTTAGCCATACATGTAAGGCAGACATATTTAAGTGTGTACTATTAGTAATGGGTCAGGATTGATAAGCAGGAAACAGTGAGATGTATTGGAAAGAAATGACACAAGCCTAGGACAATCAACTTTTGGCTCCACCAGTTAGTTGGGTGACCTCTGGACAAGTTTCAATGCCTCCAAATCTTAGGTTCCACATCTGTAGAATGGGGATACTAACATCAACTCTCTCAACCCACCAGAATCTTTTTGAGTATCAAAGGAGATAATGAACATGAAAATACTTTGAAAACACCAAATGGCACATATATGCAAGAGACAATTATTTTGTACCAGTAACTTCAGGAACAAAAGGAAAGTAGATTGAACCGAAAGGCAGGTTAGCAGGTCTGGCCCTGACTCTCCCATTAACTAACTATATAATTTAGAATCATTATAGTAGAGGTAAAAGGGATGTTAGTAGTCACCTAGTCTAATGATTTTATTTTGCTGATGAGGAAATTGAGGCCCAGAGAGATATAGATCACCCAAGGTCACCCAGCTGAAAAATGGCAGAATCTAACTGTAAGTGTCCCTCAAGGTTCTGTCCTGAGCCCTCTTCTCTTCTCCCTCCATACTCCTTCACATGGTGATCTCATCAGCTTCTGTGGATTTAATTCCCATCTTGATAACAATGATTCTCAGATCTACCCATCCTTCCCCAACCTTTCTGCTGACCTCCAATCTTGCATCTCCAATTGCTTTTCAGATATCTTAAACTGCATGTCCAGTAGACACCTTAAACCCAATATGTCCAAAATAGAGCTCATTATCTGTCTCCCTGAGCCTTCCCCAATTCCTTCCCTTTAACTGCAGAGGGCAACACTACCCTCCCAATTCCTAAGGTTCACAACCTAGGAGTTGTCCTGCATTCCTCACTATCTCTGACCCCCCACCCCAATCCAAGCTATTTCCAAGGCTGTCCATTTAACCTCTGTAATATCCCTTATATAAACCTCATTCTCCCCTCTGACACTGCCACTGCTTTGGTTAAGGCCCTCATCACCTCGCACCCGGATTGTTGGCGGGTCTGCCTGCCTTGATTTTCTCCCCACTCCAGTCCATCCTCCAATCCATCCATTCTCATCCATAAAGCTACTTTTCTGAAACTTAGGTCTGATCATGTCCACTCCCCTACTTAATAAACTCCAGTGGCTCCCAATTGCCTCCAGGATCAAATCCAAAATGTTCTGTTTGGCCTTCAAAGCCCTTTATAACCTAGCCCCCTCCTACCTTTCCAGTGTTCCACCTTACATCCTGACACTTATTCTTCAACACAGTGACACTAACCTTCTGGCTGTTCCACGAATAAGACACTCTGTCTCTCAGCTCTGGACATTTTCTCTAGCTGTCCCACATGCCTGGAATGCTCTCCTTCCTCCTCTCTGATTACTGACATCTCTGGCTTCCTCTGAGTCCCAACTAAAATCTCACCTTCTACAGGAAGTTTTCCCCAGCCCCTCTTAATTCCATGCCTTCCCTCTGTTAACTATCTCCTATTTATCCTATATATACAGTAGCCTGCTTTGTATATGTTTGTTTGTGTGTTGTTTCTCCCATTAGATTATAAATTCCTCAAGGGCATGGATTGTCTTTTGCCTCTTTTTGTATCCCTGCCCCATAGCACAGTGCCTGGCACTCAAGGAATAATCCACTGATTGATTGGTTGAGTCAGGACTTGAAATCCCATTTTCTCACTTCCATTCCAATGTTCCTGCTATGAGACTTCTGCTTCTGTGAAACCTTAGGCAAGTCACTTAACTTTTCTGAGATTTAACTTTTCTGAAATTTAGTTTGTTCATCTATAAAATGAAGAGGTTGGATTTGATGATCTCTATGGTCCCTTCAAACTCTTATATCCTATGATTTCATATGCATGTGTATATGTATGTATGTATGTATGTATATATATGTATATATACTCACAATTACATAGCACTCTAAGACTTACGAAGCACTATACATACATTAATTTGACTCCCACAATAGCCCAGCAAGGGAGACCCTATTATGTTCAATTTTACAAATAAGGAAACCCTGGCTTTGACATATTAAATGACCTAACCCAGGCCAAATGACTAGTAAGTGTCTGTGGTGGGTTTTGAACCCAGGCCTCTTACTTCACAAGTCCTTCTTTGCCCATTACACCGCACTGAGCCTCTACAGCACCCTTACAGCGAGGCATCCTTTGAAGGTAAGAAAGAAGCTAAGCTATTGCTTAGTGCATAGAATGCTGGACATAGGGTCAGAAGTGGATGGAGTCAAACCCTGCCTAATACGCTTACTGGAGGCGGGCAAGTTCCTTGATCTTTCTCACCCTCAATTTTCTCATCTATACAATCAGGATTTTAATCATGGTAGCACTTCCTTACATGGATTGTTTTGAGGATCAAACAAGACAAGATGGACAAGTGACTTACAAACCTTAGAGTGTCATACAAATGTCTACAGTGCCATATCAATGTCAGTTATGATCATGATAGTGATATTGGTGGACAGTCTCCAAAGTCCCTATCAGTGCGAATGAACTTACAGCAGCAGACAAACCAAAGGGCACAGTCAAAAGTGGGCAGAGAGAATGAGTGAGCGACAGGTGTCGTTCACTAGATTTCTGGGCTTTTTTCTGGGTCTCCCTCTAAGACTGGCTAACAGTTCGACTAGTGGCTGGGTCCAGAAGGTGTTCTGGACGTCTGGAAGTTTACTTTGAAAGAAGTTGGGGAACAGTGTGTGATGACTTCTGGGATCTGAAGGAAGCCCAGGTGGTGTGCAGACAGCTTGGATGTGGACAGGCTGTCTCAGCCCCCGGCAGAGCCCATTTTGGCCAGGCCTCTGGCCAGATTCTTCTGAATGACGTGTACTGTTCTGGAGGTGAAAACTACCTAGGGCAGTGCTCCCATGCAGGCTGGTTTGTGCACAATTGTGGGCACAATGAAGATGCTGGTGTGATTTGTTCAGGTAAATTTCTTCTTTACACTTTGGAAAGCTGATTGTTTTTTAGCCTTTCAAATCTTTTTACATTCTTCTTCCATAAATTGTCTGCATTTTGGAAAATTCAATACCTCTGATTAAAAAGTCATCATTTTATTCAGAAATACAACTATCCTTCATTGAAAAAGAAATTCAGTGCATGGAAATTCTCAACTAAGAAATTAATATGCTAGTTAATCACCTAATTTTGATCACAATCCTGATACAAATTTATTGAATACTTTTTGTGTGCTCAATACTTAATAATACCAATTGACATTCATATAACATCTTAAAGTTTGTGAAGTATGTTAATAATAGTTAATAATAATAATAGCTAACATTTACATAGTGCTTACTATGTATTACTACACTGTGCTAAGCCCTTTACAATCATTATCTTATTTGATCCTCACAATAATCCTGAGAAATAGGTGCTATTATTATCCTTCTTTTATAGATGAGGAAACTGAGGCAAACACAGTTTGTGACTTGTCCAGGGTCATGTAGCTAGTAAGTACTTAAGGCTAGATTTGAATTCTGGTCTTCCTGAGACCCTATAGCTCTGGGAAGTAGATTTTACAATTATTCCCAATTTAAAAATGAGTAAATTGAGGCTCAGAAAAATAAAAAATTACTTTACTTGAAACCAGGCTTTCCTGACTCCAAGTTTCACAAATTCTCCTTTATACTATTTCCCCCTCAATACATGTGGCTTTATAACACCATGCAGTAATCTGATATATGGAAAACAACCACTTTCCAATCCACCAATAAAATTTAGTGGATGGAACTGAAAAAGTGAGGCAGGTTGGGACCTATAGGAAAAGAGAGAAGCTAGTTTCCCAGCTGAACCTCATGAGTATTGGCTGTGGACATGGGGAAAGGGGTTACAGAGGGATCTTAGCTGAGGGCCTCACCTTAATTTTAAATGCTCCTAAATCTAAATTCCATTGAATCTTCAAATTGGAAGGAATCTTAGGGTTCTGTTAGTCAAACTCCTTGACAACTTAGTCTACGGAATCCATTGGAAGGAACACACTGCGGGAGAGAGTTAGAGGCTCTAAGCTTTTGACAAAACAGATTAATCCAGAATTTTTTTCTTTTAACTGGTGCTTCCCCTCCCCCTTTCTATTGGTAAACCCACCTGTCCATTTATTGATCTTGAAATGAAAAATAAGCTATAAGCGATGAGAAGTGAGTTCAAACATCACCCCTCTTCCTCTGACCTTATGGTAAAATGACTCTCACATCCTACCCCCCCACCCCCGCCACACACACCCAGTCCCATTCCCTGTCTGTAGTTGGCAGGCATAAATAAAAGTCAATACAGGTTCAATGAGATGTTTGGTACAATTGAAATTATTTGTTTTAAATTTTATGTAGTATTGATTAATGATATCATTATATTTTTCTTCATCTTTCTTGGCATTGAAGTCATTTAAAGTCAATCACTTTTTTAAAAATCCTTACTCTTTTCTGATTTTCTCATTTTTCCCTTTTTTTAAAAAAAATCAGAAAATCATAAACATCATTCGGTTTGGACAGTGGGCAAACACTGGATTTGATCATTCAAAAAGCAACTGACATTTGGTCAAAGGAGAAGGCTTAGTATAGACTCTTTCTTCATGGGACATTTTTTAGGACACTGTTTTCCTAGTCTAGGTCATCAAAGGCTTTATCAGCTAGCCAAAGTCTATTTATCTCAGACATCTATTAAATGACTAACAATTATGCCCAGCCACTGGGTTATTGGCTTCTATCATAACATGCTCCACTATAACCTAGGCTTTCTGAGGTATTTCCTGCATCCCCTCATTCCTACTGGGCCGAGCCAGTATTTTCTAAAAGTCAGAAACTTTGGGAAATGGTCTGCAGCCTCCAAGAGAACTGCCTTTATTCTTTGGCATGGGCCTGGGGACAGGTACTCCACTGAAGCCGAAGAGGCCTTGTGGTTCCAGGGTCTCCTGATGGTTGATACCAAACAAACATAAACCTTGAGACTGTATTAGAGGAGTGGGTAAGGAGGGATGCAGAAGAAGGGGAATTTTTACCAACAAAATGTTCTATAGTAGCTTCAATAAACTGTCACCTCTAAGAAAATGTAGAATAACACTGGTATCTTGTAAAGCTGATGGCTACCTTAAACACTAATTGTTTGGTTCTTTATTCCCCTTCACCTCCTTCCTTTAAAAGATTCCTTATATCCTATTTCAAAACTTCAATGAGTCTTGTAACTGAAAAGTCACGCAATATCCTGTCAACTTTCTCACTCCCATTCTCCTGGTCATCTAATCTAATGTGACCATTGCCCCTTTAAAAGGGGAGAGTAGGACAAGATAGAATGATGGAGCTTTAGAGATGAACTTCCAGGGGTCCTCTAGCTCATTTTCCTGATAAAGAGACCAAGGCCCAGAATGGAGGAGTAACTTGCCCAAAGTAATTGAGGGGCAAAGACTGGACTAAAACCTAGGTTCCCTAGTTCCTAGTCTGATGCTTATCTATGACTATACTGCTTCCTCATTCTCCAAGTCTGTCCTGATTAACAAACTATAGTTCAACATTGGGGTTTGTTTTCAAGAATGGAAGGCCTTTTCAGTTGGACCAAGCTATTTAGTGATAGCTTTCATTTCTATAACTCTATGTGCTTTTCAGATCTTTTTTATGTGTATCTGAATTCAACCAGAATAGTATCTGGCCTGAAATTTACCTGTGCTTTATCTAAAGAGGATCATTCAACCAACTAATGTTAGACAACCGTAAGTTCAGAGAAGTGTTTAAACAATTCAAGAAAACAGGCTTGTTTTTAATTAATTTTTAATTAATTTTAATTAATTAAATTTTAAATTAATTAAATTTAATTAATTTTATAATTTTATAACAAATAAATAAATTTAATTTCATTTAAATTAAAATTTAATTAATTAATTTTAATTAAAAATTCCCATTCTAATCTATTGATTAAAGCAAAGTTATTAGTGAACCTCTACTTAGGCAACACCTAATTAGCCTGCACATATCATCACTTGCAATAATGAAATTGTATTGCACCCTACAATGAAAATTTTTCTCTTCTGACTGATCTTCTCCATTAGTGAAAATTAGTGCAGTTTCACTTATCTTTTTTAATGGATAAATTTTCCATTAAAGCCCTACTCTGATGTCTCTCTGGGGAAATGAGGCAAATCTGCCTTCTCAAAGGCTATGTACTAGAAGAATGGCAGCATTGGTAGGTCCTACAGAAGCTAGAAAGGCTTTGAATATGGCTAGAATGATAAACGCCTGCCGCTTCAAGATCTTAAATAGATTCAACATCTAAAAGTTGACCAATATATGGTTTTATTTTTTGGTCATGATGTCTCATGAAGGCTGATTTTGCAGGGGCTACATTCTTCAAACACAGAAAATGAGCCCTCTATGATGAAATCCAAGATCTTTTGAAGATAATGATTTTAAAGATTGGCTGTAATCTTCAATGTGATTTTAATTTATCTTGTAATAAAATTTTTTCCAAGGGAAATATGTCACTAGATTTATAACAGATGGAAAATATAGAAATATACTTTATAAGAAATTATTAGGAACTCATCTCTTAGAGTATTAAGGAATCCTTTCATAGCATTCCAGTTGGCTGAGTTTATAGTAGTTTGGATTCCCTTTAACTGTTAATATAATTCACTGAACCAGGGTAAAGTTGACCATATGCTAAATCCTACAAGGGAGGGGCAACAAATACAGAACCCCATAGTTTCCTAAATTTTAAGGTGGAAGGGACCCTCACAGAGTTCAACCCCCTCATCATAGAGATGGGAAACAAAGGTCAGACAGGAAGTAAAAAGCATAGCCAAAATTAGAATCCCAGTCTTTTGACTCAAGGTGAATTTCTTTTCTATTATGCCACCCTGCTTCTCCTATGCCCCTACTTTTTCCCATCTGGCCTTTTCAAACACACCTCTTATATTCGATTCATTTTCTGATGCCCCCATCTCAGTCCTCCATCCCCTCCCCCATTTCAGTTCTCCATCCCCTAAATGAGTAGTAATGGATTAATAGAAAAACTAATTCCTTCACTTGAATGAATGAATTAATAAGCTACCCCTCTCCGGTAACAAAAGCTTAATCCTTTAGGAGCAACCACAATTGCTAGAAATTTCAGGCATCTGTCTTAGAGGAAAGAAGGGAGAATTTTTAAAATATCAAGGTAGTTTTAGTTACTCTCTTTATAATACAGTGAGAAGAACTGTCTGTTACATTTTATAAGGCCTACCTAGGCATCAGGTGCAGGAAATCCCAATCACTGCATTTTCCCTGAAAAGAGAGACTTGCCATTGATATGCAACGTTTCATTTCTTCTCGTTCACAGATTACGACTTTGAAAGCTCTGGAGCTTCTGGTAAGACTCATATTCTTCTATGTGAGAATGTCAATAGGTCTCTGATTTCATTGATTATTGCCTTCCTCCTCCAGTGAATGATGTAGATTATGACCTATCCATGCTGTGTCCACCAAAAAAAATTTACTTTTATATAACATTAACTGAACAGTCAGCAATGCCTCCACAAACTGGTTTAAAACACACACATATATATGTATGCACTTAAATATATGTAAACATTTACATATAATAAAACCTATCTTTATGCAGCACTTTAAGCAAAACATATACACTGTCTCATTGGAGACTCAACAACCTTGTGAAATAGAGGTGACAAGTATTATTATTATTATTATTGTTATTATTATTATTTTACTGATGAGGAAACCAAGGATGAAAATGGTTAATTGACTAGCCCCTGGTTACACAATAAATGTACATAATAAAAGTGGGAAGATCGGTGTTTTCCTTCATTCAATTCCAGTACTCTAGCAATGACTCTTATGTAGACATATAGATGTTAATGCATTAAATTTATTCTATGCATGTGACAGATAGTCAAAACTGCACCTTTGCCTTTATGAATATGTTTTCAGGTATTTCAAGCAATGTCTCCTTCACTTTAACTGACAAGATGTGGTGATTAATAGAGAGTTGTCGATCACCTTTTATGTCTAGCATGCTCCCCCTGCCTTGATTAGGGAAAATAGCTTTGAAATGACAAGGCAGATTCTTTGCAATCAGCAAGTCATCATTTAACTCCATTCCTTTTGAACTTTGACCTAAGATGATGAGACTAAATAGACCTGGAAGGGGGCAAAAGCAAATCTAAATTGTTAAGATAAATACACAACCACATTCTTATTAGGTGCTTTTTATCAAAAAAGATAAAAGATAGGTGACTTTTATCAAAACTCATCTTTTACTGAAGGCCAGGTAAAAGATCAAAGAGAATATCTACTAATTTGGTCATCCACACATGTGTAAATAAGAGTTAACAGTTTTGCCTGGTAGAATCATCAGTTCTTAGGCTGGGATGGGATCTTAAAGGTCATTTAATCTTATATTCTGCCCACTGCTAGGACTCCCTTACAGTTTAGGGTCCTTTTCTCTGAATTGGCATGAAATGAATTTAATCTCTTTTCACATCATACATGTATGTGGGCATGTACGTATATATGAAAATAAAAAACCTGTAAATAATAAATCATTTCATTTTTCTGTGCCAATAGGCTCTGAAATCTTGAGCCCATTTCCAGGTGGTAAGTCGTTATTTTTTTTTAATTAAGTCTGATAATCTTTGGTGAATCATATATTTCTAAATGACTTGCTGTCCCTAACATTCAAGTACTGCCAGATTATTTTGCCTTAGAAATGTTGTGTACTTTCACCTCTTATGAAAGTGGACTCTTTTCCCAATGAGATTGTGTATTCTCCATGCTCCTGATAAGGCTGGCAGATCTGGAATGCCATCTGTTTTTAGCACTCCATTTACTGTTTCCACCAGATAAGTAGACGGAGTGAAGAGGAATAATTTGCAAGTGATTTAAAGGTGTTATCTAGATGCAGGAATTCCTTTCCTTCCAATTATAAGATTGAGGGTTTAATTCAATTCAAGAAATGTCTGTGTATATTTAAATTTCTTTGGTCTAAGGAAATAAGAACCAAACAGCTGTTCACAGCTTGTTTTTCCCCAAGGAACTAAAGGTGCCAGAGTTGCTAAGTGATTTCTCATCATACTCTAAGGCAATAGAAGAATTTGCTTCTTTAATTTAATTCTTTGTTTACCCAAGCTATACAAGGTCTACTTAGAGCAGGGGTCTTAACCTTTTATTGTGTGAGAGACTCCCTTAGAAGTTCAATGAAGCCTATGACTCCTCAAAATAATGTTTTTAAATGCATAAAATAAAATATATAAGGTTATAAAGGAAATCAATTATATTGAAATAAAGGTGTAATTTTTTTTCACATTTAAGTTCATAGATCTTCTGACATCTATAAGTAGACATGGGTCCAGGGACCCTAGATTTAGGGCAACCTCAAGTGACAGTAAGGGCTGCTTTTTAAAACAATGAAACAAAAGAAAGGGGATGGGCAGAATAGGGTTCAGGGAAAGAATTTTCTTTTTTTTTCTTCCCCAAAATGTATGTTAGTTTGGAGAGCAAGAGTGGGGAAAGTCTTATGAATAAATATAGTGTATTTCTTCTCTTAATATTTAACGTGTTTGTGTCTTTGAAAGATTGGCCCCAATTGCAGTTAGTGAACGGGTCAGACAGATGTTGTGGATGTGTCAAAGTTTACTACCATGGCCAGTGGGGCAGCGTGTGTGATGATCACTGGGACATGAATGAAGCCGATGTGGTTTGCAGGCAGCTAGGATGTGGGCGAGCCATTGCTGCCCCCACTGAGGCCTGGTTTGGTGAAGGCTCAGGAGAAATTCTTTTGGATGATGTGGAGTGTACGGGAAGAGAAAGTGATCTGGGGCAATGTTCCCATGCAGACTGGTTCATACATAACTGTGGTCATGGAGAAGATGCCAGTGTTATCTGTTCAGGTAATGTCTCCCTCTTCTCCAAAGTATATGTATCACTTTCTAAATGCATTTCCACTCTTCTCATGAGTAATACATAAAGGCTCCATTATGGAAAATTCTTGATTGTTTTTCATAAGGCAAAAATGAGGAGCCATTGGAAACTTTTGAGCTCATAAAAGAATGAGCCAAAAAAGAGAGGTTAAAATAGAACTGAAAACACTCATATAGGAAAAAGTTACATGAATTCCAGGGTGGGTAGATATCAAGGAATGCATTCCCAGTGTATTCTCAGGCTGCTTCCTAGAAAGCAAGGATGAAGGTGGTCAACAGTATGCAGAGTGTACCACATTGCTTTGGAATGTGGGGAGATAAAAACAAAATGGTAGACATAGCCCCTCACCTGGACAAGCTTGTAATTTGATGAAGATGAAAAATAATAGGGAATTCTTATGTCAGCTACCTGTACTCCACTCTCTGGAGTGTGTCGTCCTCTGTGCTCAGTATTCTTTGACCAAGAAGTATCACGACTAATGTTAGCATTCTATGGTTCTTCCATAAATATTATAAATGCTAAGACATAGATTTGTACCACTGAAAGAAATAAGATAACAACTCCTCATGGAGTTTAGAATACCAAATCCTAGTCTTCAACTCACACACTGGGGGCAATACAAAGTTTAGATTAGGTGCATCCTTGCCCATTTGGCTACTAGGTAGCACAGTGGATAAAGCACTGGACTTGGAGTTGAGAAGAGTTGAGTTCAATTCCTGCCTTGGATATTTATTAGTTGTGTGACCCTGGGAAAAATCACTGAACCTCTCTGAGCCTTCTTCATCTGTAAAATGGGATGAATGATAATCTCTCAGGGTTGTTGTGAGGCTCAAATGAGAGAACATATATAGAGAAACTTTGTAAACCTTAAGATGCTATATAAATTCCAGCTGTTTTATTATTGTTATTATAATGATGATGATGATGATAGAGCTACCAATCTGTTAGGATGAAATAATGCATGCACAGATAGCTATAGTGTAAAAGAATTGAATTCAAAAAGCACCTGCTATATGCCAGGCACTGAGCTAGGGATACAAAGTCAAAAATGAAACAGTCCCTATCCACAAGAAGCTTACATTTTATTGTGAGGATCCCAGGAGATAGGGAGGCACAACATGTACATAAATAAGTATATATATATATGTGTATATTTATAAATATATATTTATATATATTATATATATATATATATATAAAATAATCCAACAGGGAGAGAAGAAAGATGTACCCCAAGAAAAGTATGACATGAGGTTTGAGGGGGGAAATCGTTACCAGCTAACTGGAGGCATCAGGTAAGGGTCCATTTGTATTGGGTCCACTAAATCATATCTACCTGATTGCAAAATAACCAATTGGTTCAGTAAATTCAAACAATCCAACAGCTTATCCAACCATTTTTATCGAATTTGTATCTCCATAGAAACAGTCAATTAAGTGTCCTTGCTAGTCAAAACCAGAATGTTTCATTTGTGGGAAGTTATATCTTCCCTGCACAATAATTGATGAAATAGGTTTTATGCAACAAAAACAATCAGCTGTAAGTATCCTCCCAGTAGAATGCAAACTCCTTGTGAGCAGGAACTCTTTCATCTTTGTCTTTGTATCCCTAGTGCCTGGCATATAGTTGGTGTTTAATAAATGCTCTCTGATTAATTGGTTGATTATAGATAGCCTTCCATGATGTTCTATGGTAGGGAATAAAGAGCTTAATTGTCTATTGTGTTTTGCTTATAGTGACATGGACCAAGAAAGTGGTGTTATACATTCTATTTCCTTGATTTCATAATTAAGAATCACTTTTAATTGAAGCATTTCTTTAAAAAAAAACCCTATCTTTCTCTAACAATAGATGTTTTCTTTTCCTATGTTGACAGAGGCTGAGTATTTGATGCCTATAACAGGTAAATTCAGCCTTCAATTTTCTTAACCTGATATTCTTTCAACATAAACATCAAGGTGTTTTCAGGAAGGGAATGCAGAAAAGTATGAGGTGGTGAACATAATACAAATGATTCTACTTTTAAATGGCATTGTCACATTTCTTGAAAGTGATAGGTTTGACAAGGCTTAGATATTTTGACAGATTTTTTTGCAATCTTGTGCAACTTCATTAATTCATTTCTTTTTAAAACAACAATAATCTTATTCTTTTGTTATAATAGTTAACGCGTCTCACACTTTTAAAATGTTGGACTGAGTTAAATATTCTCAAGGAAAGAGATCAGTCTTCCATGGGAACTCCGGCAGGAAGTCACTTTCTATAAATTCTACCAGTCAATAGAAAATATTATTAGGTCATTTTTTCTTCAAGTTCTCCTTCTTTTATACTTCAATCATTAAATTTTGAGGATATTGTCTGGAAAGTTATTTTTTCAAAATTAAATACTAAAAGCTCAATTTCTATAAAATACTGGGCAAACTCATAAACTATTTTGACAGTATTACTTGTTTAGCATTCATTCATCATGATGAGGAGAAATATTTTTCTATCTGGAGTTACTTGACTATTAATAGCTTTATCTATGGATTTTTTCCATTACAACAGATATTAAATTCGCAACTCTTCCACCAACAGTAGACGTTGATGAGTCATCTTCTGGGGAAATAAGTAAGAGATATTTTTTGTATCATCTATCCTTTCCTCTTCAGGATTTCCTTCTGTTATAAAGCAATCAAATTTTTTACTTGAAATGTTGGGCCATATGATTTCTGGCTAGGACCACGAGGAAATAAAGCTGATAATGATTGATGTGTAGACTCTCATCCCTTTGGTACACTTAGAAAACTGACATCGCTTCCAACTAGCAATGGGATGATATTCAAAATGGGTTAAAATGTACTAGCCAAGGGATCTGGAAGACAGTGTTCATCAACCTCTGGGATTCTGGATGAAGCAGGTGTGGTGAACTCACAGTAGAAGTTTGGACAAATTACTTGGCCCCACTAGGGCCCACCTTTGGTTCAGACTTGGGAAAAATTCTCCAGCACAATGTATAATGTATAATATAATAATATATAAAATATATAATATAATATTATATTAATCATATATTATTAAATAGTATTATTATAGAATTATTATGATATGGTATTGTTATTATATATTATATATTATCAAATTATATATACCTATATAATATGATAATATATAATATAAATTCTCCAGGACAGTGTATAGAATGAAAATCACCTGGATCAGATTTGACATGCTTTCAGCAGTCAGAATGAGAGTATTTGTTACCTTTTCTGGTTAACATTTCTCTCCTTTTATCTAATCAAATCAAAGATATCTATTGAACACCACAAGATGTTGTATTTCACAGATAAGAGACTTTATTTCATATTTTATGCATTCTAGTAGACTAATATATTGGAAACAGGCTAGTTAATAAAGCAACATAGTGATGAGATTTTTAAAATTTATCTTTATCAATAGGTGATAAAAATTTGTCAACTATGGTATCAGGTAAGAAAACATTTTTCTAATCATCAAAATGTATAAGAGAGAAATAAAAGGAAGACCTGCTGAGTATATAAAATGGATTATGCCATTAAAACTAGCTTCCTTGGTTATACATCCTGTGTGTCACAAATGAAATGTGAACTTAAGTAAAATTGATTTTTCAATGGTTTTTGAAAAATGATTTTTCATTTTTTTTAAATTTCAAATTCAAATTGATTTTCAAAAATCAAAAATGATTTTTCAGCCCTTAGATGCATGCACTTGGGGAAAAGCTGCTATTGTTGTGAAAAATGAGGGCAATATCTTCTAATTCTCCTAGGATATGAAAGTAGAAGTCCACAATTCTCACTTTACAGATGAGAAAATCAAGTCCCAGAGAATTTTAAGTAATTTTCCTATGTTCTACAGGTAGGAAATAGCAGTCAGGATTAAAAGCCAAGTCTTTCATGACTGAATTCAGTACTATTTTTACTACATCATGGAGCCCCTTACATCTTCAATCCTTCAAGTTAAGCTACTTACTTTGGTAGCCAACCCAGCGTCTCATAGATTTTATTTTTCGGTGCAACACACCTAATTTTGCACGAGAAAAAACACCATTTGATTTTGTTCACAGTTCAACAGTTTCCTTTTTTCTGTTAATTAGAAGGTACTGGATATGTCTACAGAACAGTGCATGACATCTGGAAAATGAAACATTAAAAGATACAACAAAAATAGAGACTGAAGGAGAGAGGAAAATAAGAAAGGTCATAAAGACAGGGACAGGTGAGTGATGTATAGAGCACAGGTAGTAAAGAATAAAAAAGGCGGTGACTAGGGGAGCAGAAAGTTCTAATCCCAGACCTGCCACTATGTTGGTATAAAGGGCCAAACGAGTACAGCATAGCTGTATGGGGCAGGAAAGTAGTAACTGTAGGTAAGAGCTCAAAGGTGGGTGCACCAACCCTGTGGCAACCTGAAGCCAGCACATAAAATCAGGGATTTGTCGTTCAGTCGTTTCAGTTGTGTCCAACTCTTCATGACCCTATTTGGGATTTTCTTGGCATGGATATGGGAGTGATTCACCATTTCCTTCTCCAGCTCATTTTACAGATAAGGAAACTGAAGCAAACAGGATTAAGTGACTTGACCAGCATCACACAGCTAGCAAATATCTGAGGCCAGATATAAACTCAGGAAGATGAGTCTTTCTGACTCCAGGCCTGGCACTCTATCCAATAAGCCACTTAGCTACCCCTCCAAGAAAAATCAGGGATAAGTAATCATTAAATCTTTGATGACATTTCAGACTGGATGTTCCAGAATTATCTTAAACCCAATATATCAAAAAATTGAATTCCTTGCCTTTTCTTCTAAACCCTCTTCTGTTCCAGACTTCCCTGTTTCCATCAAAGGTGCTACTATCCTTCCAATCTCCTGGATTTATATCCTTGGCATAATTCTCGACTCTTCACTCTCTCCACACATTTCCAATTAGGTGCCAAATCTTGTCATTTCCACCTTTGGAACATCTCACATATGACAGCTTCCCACTCACACAGCTACTACCTTAATTCAGTTCCTCAACACCCGGCCAAGATTACTGCAGCAGCCTTCTACTTCACCTCCCTGCCTCAAGTCTCTCCCCACTACAATCCATCCTAAACACTACTGCCAACATATTTTTCCTTAAACATAAATCTGACAGTGTGATTCTCCCACTTAATCAACATCTTTTGCCTTTGGGATAAAATAGAAATGTTTCAGAGTTTCACGCATTATGGCACTCTGCCATCCACTCAACCTGGCATTCTCACAAATGACATTCCATCTTCCATCTCCAAGCTGAGCACTGGCTAGCCCACATCCCTGGGATGCTCCCTCTCTCATTAACTTCTACCTCATAGGGTCTTCTCCTTCCTCTAAGTACTATCTTCTACTTCTAGTACTATCTTATGCATTAAGCCTTTCCTTATCCCCCTACCAACTGCTAATGCCCTCCTTCTCAAAAATCTTGCATTTCACTACTTTGCATATGCGTGTATTTACTCACATTCTATTGATGTGGTTTATATTTATATATATATATATATATATATATTTATATACTTGTTGCTTCCCCTACTGAAATGTAAGCTCTTCACAAGTAGAGATTGTTTCATTCTTTGTAGTTGTATTCCATAGTGGCTGACATATAGTAAGCACTAAAAAAAAAATACTTGTGACAGCTAGCAGGGTTCAGTGCATAGAGCAACGGGGTTGGAGTCAAGAAGATCTGAGTTCAAATTCAACCTCAGATACTTGCTAGCTGTGTGACCCTAGGCAAGTCACTTAATCCCTATTTGCCCCAGGTCCTCATCTGTTAAATGAGCATTCATTGGAAAGGGAAATGGCAAACCATTCCTTTGTCTTTACCAAGAAAACCTTATGGACGAAGTCCATGGGGTCACACGGAACTGGATACAACTGAACAGCAACAAATAAATATTTTATTGATAATGACCCTTAAACTTGACATCATAAGCCTACCATCAGTCAGTAAGACAGTACAAGAAAGGAGAGAGTAGGAATGAGGTAGGACCATCAATTTAGCAAGGCAACACGTGTATAGTAGCCTCACTTGCAGAAGCCGTCTCATGTATGTAACTACACATACATATGTGCATATGCATATGAACTCTACTGAAACACTTCCCTCTTCTCTCTTCCCACTCCCCCCACCCCAGGAAAAGCAACCAATGGTGTGGTGCTTTTATGGTCAGGGCATATCTATAATAGGATTATTGGAGCCTGTCGTACTAACTCATTGTATGACCTTATACAAATTCCCCTCTCTGGGCTTCACTTTTCTTATTTGTAAAACGGAGTTTAAGAAAATAATCTCTAATGTATCCTTTGATGCTTTTATATTTTGATACTTTAAAAAAAATTTTAATTGACAGAAAAAGGTGAAATTACTACCGTGTCTACATTCCATAACTGCTTCATCTATTAAGACTTATTGTTGCTAAAGGCAGGGTAAGAATCATTAATGAAATGAGCTCACAAATGACCTTAGTAAGACAAATGGAAAAAGGTCCCAGAAAATCCTAGTGGTCAGAACCAACATACATGCTGTTTGAAAGGAGTCACCGGCCCATTGTGAGAGATTTCTAAGTGCTAACTGTGGCAAAGCAGACAAACTATGTTGCATACACAAATCCTTAGTCATAACTAAACACTGACTCTAAGAGAGATGTATAAGGTCTTGGGTAAGGGCATGAAGCAGTATTTCAAAGGTGGGTCAGAATGCAGGAGTTTGACCAGAGCTTAAGGCTCATCAGGCCAAGAGTGATCTAGCATCTATTACTACTTACCTAGGCTGTGACAGGCAATTTATCACTTTAAATCATGATATTTTCTGTTGTGTCCTTATTCATGGAGTTAAACTGGAATATTGCTCAAACTTTAGGTGCTCTTAAAAGTATGTTGGGGGGGTGGTGAGCAGCTAGGTGGCACAGTGGATAGAGCACTGGCCCTGAGGTCAGGAGAACCTGAGTTCAAATCTGACCTCAGACACATAGCACTAGCTGTGTGACTCTGGGCAAGTCACTTAACCCCAAGTGCCTCACCAAAAAAAAAGTGTATGGGAAAATGACTCCTGTTAATAAAATTGAAGATATTACATTTTTCTTCATCGAGATCATCAGTTATTCACTATTCATAAGAATTTTCTTTATTATAGTTCTACCAGCTGCCATTCCAACTCCTCCATCACCTGTAGGTGTTGACCATTCAGGGAAACTGTCAGGTAGGAGCTGGTAATTGAAAAATCATTAACAGGTGCCTTTCTTATCCTCAAGCAATACTAGAACCATGTAAACAATTAGGGAATAGAATGAAAACGGCAGTTCATTTTTATTTATCATGCCTACTATATTTACTAAGTGGCTATATGCAGTGTTGGAAATAAAAGATAAATAATACAGAGCCCCTGCCCTCATGGAGACTATAATCTAGTAGGAGAGATAAAACGAACGTTGGTAACTGTAATAAAAAGAAAATTGGACAAATGCATTGAGATACAAGGTGCTATGGAAAAGTTGTAGGGGTGAGGAACCTGTGGCCTCGAAGCCATATGTGGCCTTCTAGGTCCTCAGGTGCGGCCTTTTGAGGCCACACCCAAGGACCATAGAAGTCCTAGAGGCCACAGGTTCCCCACCTCTGGTAAGAGGAAGGAAAGATGGCTTCTATCTAGGAGGTGAAAGGGAGACTTGATGAAGGAGGTGGTATTGGAGCTGTACCTATAAAAACTGCCAAGTATTTGATAAGCATGGCTATGTGGGGAAGGGGCACTCCACAAAGAGGGATCAGCCTAAACAAAAGCATGAAGATTTATTCAGGGAAAGGTGAAAACTCCAGTGTGACTGTAACATAAAGAATATGAAACAAGGTAATGGAACATTGGTGTGGAAAGGTGGATGAGGGTATATCATGGTGGGCCTGCCTTCAACATGAGGCTAAAGGATTAACACCTTATTCACCAGGTGAAGGAGAACTATTGCAGATTTTTGAAAGAGTAGTATAATGATCAAATAATCAGAACTGTGCTTTAGGAAGATTAATAAGACAGCAGAGTGTAATGTTTTAACTACTTAGATGTTCTTGAGGCTCACCAAAAATGAGAAAGCCAAGGAGGAGAAAAATGACATGTATTGTTCTCTAAAACTAGTCTGCATTCAGGGTTTTCCCTGGTTGCCTTTGTTTATCCATAAACTGTCTATAAAACTTTTTAGCCTACTTTGCTAGAATTTTACTGTTATACATCATTAAACTATATGGTTCCCAATCTCTCGTATTTATGGATTTAAGTCACTGAAAAATGAAACTACAAAATCAGTTAGATTCTCACCTCTAATCTAGTCAAAGAATAAAGGCATTTTATGCCACCTTGAGCATTCTGTTTGCTCTATGGAAATCTAACTCTCTAATACTCCATCAAAATGAGGGCTTTCTCCAGTGATGAAGATTGAATCCCATCCATGCCTACCCATTCTGTGCAACTCTCCTCCATGACTTCCTATAGATTCTGGAAATGTTCTATTTTGAATAAACACATTTATGGATAATTGAATTAACTTTCTGGATTGATGGATCAGATAACAACTCACATTTCTATAGAGATACAGTTTACAAAGTATTCCTCTTCTGACTACCTAGTGGTATAGGATTACCAGTATTACATCCCCTATTTGCTGATGTGGAAATTGAAGTTCAGAAAAGCTAAGTGATTTCACCAAGATCGTATAGTTTATAAGTAGCAGAGCTAGAACACAAATCCAGGTCTTCTGATTCTAAAGCCAATGATCTTTTGACTATATCATATTGCCTCAAATATATTAGGTAACCTTGTTCATCTGTTGAAAGTGAGTACTATCAGTTTTTGAATATCTGTTCTGATATTGTTACAGCCCTATCTATTGAAGATTCAGCTCATGCATCACCAGGAGTCATTGATACAAATATGCCTTCAGGTAGGATGCTATAGGTAACTAAGTACTTAGAGCACAAAATTATACTTGAATCATAGTAATGATTGAAGAAACTAATAAAAATATAGACTATTTAAATGCCACTGGTGCAGTAGAGATAAAAGGCTGAGAGTAAAAGGCACTTTAAGATCCTTGAGACAATTCTGGTTGCAGTGTGCTCTCTAAATGACTTAAATTTCTTTATCTGTAATCTGCCTACAATCCAGGGATTCTTAACTTTCTGTGTGTCATGGATCCCTTTGGCTGCCCAGTGAAGCCTATTGACCCCTTCCCAGAATAATCTTTTTAAATGCACGAAATAAAATACATAGAATTACAAAGCAAATTAATTACATTGAAATAGTTACAAAATCTTTTAAAACAAGTTTATAGATCCCCAGGTTAAGAACCTCTGTCTTGGCTTACCCTAAGTTTTATTATCATACATTGTGGTACTCTATAGCTCCCAAACCTCACCCATTCATGTCTACATACAAAAAGAAAGCAATTTTTTTTTCACTTCATGCCTATTTAATGACTGAGTCATAGAATCTTAGAGTGGGGAGGTACCTAAGAAATCAATTAACCTAATTTCCCACTCCATGAAGAAATCAATACATGACATGTCTAATGGTCATACAGTCTCTATTTGAACACTTTTATTGGTGGGGAGCTAGATAACTAAGAAGTTAATCTTCCATTTTTGGGACAGGTCTAATGCTTAGAAAGTTCTTCATATTTAGTAAAAATCTGCTCGTATATAAAGTCCATTTTCTGTTCTATTTTTTCCCTTATGAATATATAAAATAAATCTAATATTCCTTCTATGTAATGGCCCTTCCAATATTTGAGGACAGTTATAATGCCCTACCTGCATCATTTCTGTAAATGTCTAAATATGCCTAGCTTTTTCACCATTGTTCATTTTTTAAACAGCTCTAATTGTTAAAAAGCTCTTTTTCATTTTAAGCCAAAATCTGTCTCTAAACTTCTACCCATTGGTCTTAAACCAAACTAGAGTATGCTGCTTACTTGATGGAACTATCTCCATATGAATATACATAGATGGGGATAATTGTGTTCCTCACCTTTATTGCTGGGTCAGATAAATAGAGTAAACGTTCTCCCTTTCAAGGTGAGCAATATTCACTGGTAATAAACATTTGAATTTTATTACAGTGCTTCCTGTTGCAGATTCAAATCCTCCACCACCAGGAATTGTTGATAAGTCAGTTCCAGGTTCAGGTGAGTCACTATGTACCAGTTAGTGCAATGATAAATGAACATGATGCCTTTCACATGCTAACCTTTAACATTTTTGTGTCTTTAAAAGACAAGCCTCTAGTGAGACTAGTAAATGGGACAGGAAGATGTTCAGGTCAGGTGGAAGTTTACTACCAAGGAACCTGGGGGACGATATGTGATGACCACTGGGAGCTGAAGGAAGCAGGTGTGGTGTGCAGGCAGCTCGGCTGTGGACAGGCTCTTTCTGCCCGCTATGGAGCCCACTTTGGCTCAGGCTCAGGGAAAATTCTCCTGAACAATGTGCAGTGCAGTGGAGAGGAAAGCCACCTGGCTCAGTGCTCACATGATGGCTGGTTTACCCACGACTGTGCTCACAAAGAAGATGCCAGTGTCATCTGTGCAGGTGAGTGTTTCTTTTCCTCTCTTTAAAGCTCCTCCTTGGTATAGATCACACTCATAGCCTTAATTATATCTTTAAAAACAAAATGGCCAATGAATAACCATGATGATTATAGCTATTTTAATTTCTCTGCCAATAGATGATAAGAATCCAGCAACTATTTTATCAGGTAAGCAAATGAGCTTGTAATTTTTCTCGGTAAGTTTTGTGCCTAACCACCCAGACATAGGAGATAAAAAGAAATAACTGGAAAAAACCCATAATAATCAGGGTTCATACAACTACAATGTGGTTTTAAAGTGAATAGATTTTTCTATGGCTAATGCAAAAAGCATAAACCCACATAAAGGAGAACACCTAATAATGCACTAAAGAAAGGGGTAAAATCCTTTTTAAAAAAAAACATATGGATCATATTAGGCATTTAGATTCATAGTCAACTTTCAATGGTTTTGTTAATGGAGTGCTAGGATAAACAATTCAAAACAGAACTAATCCAAAGAATCTCTAGTATTTATCTTTGGAGAGCATATTTTTTTAAATTTTCCATCAGATTTAAATTCCAAGCTGTATTTTGATTAAGTTAATATTGAAACATTAATTTGCATCCCCTAATCATGAATTGTCTGGCAGAGTTGGGAAATATCTGAAACTTAAGGTATTTATTCCTAGAAAGTCTGTGGGGTTAAATTTAGCCCTAAATAATTCATAAAATGGATAATACACTTGAAAATAGTTGAATTGACTAATTTTTGTGGTTGTACCAAATTATCTTTGATTTCTGACTATATACAGAATAAAAATTTTATTCAATTGGCCCATCCAATGGCGATGTCAATTGCACCTTAAGCATCTTTTATTAACATAGGCATTGGTTCAATAGCACCTGCGTCGTCCAATATGTACAATAACCTGAGGCAGCTCTGTACCCATGGAATCATGGGGCTTGTTGGTGTCCATTCTCAATACTGACTGGACATTGCTGTTATATGTTGTATATGTTTGTTATATGTTATAAATGTTATATATATTTGTTTGTAGAACTTCCTGTAAGTCCTAGGATGTAGAGTTGGAAAAGGCTTTAAAGGTCTTCTAGGCTAACTCTCCAGTTTTACAGAGAGGGTAAATCCAAAGTCATGAGAGGAATAAGGAGCAAGTCCGGGATTCCAACCAAACTCATTTAGCTCCAAATCTGCTGTTGTCTAAATTCCTTCCTCATTTCCTTCAATCACCACTTCTCCACTTCACACTTTAGACATGGAATATTGGAATAGGGATGGAGAGATCAAAACTGTAGAAGCAAATAGAATGTAGAATGTAGAAGCATGAGGAAGGCTAAGTAACAAGTGTTGCTTAATTTTTACATTGGTCAACTTGCTTTAGGAATTGTATTGTTCCATACAAGTCTAATATTGTGGTTCTAAGATCTCCTGTGGTATCTAAGACTCTGCCACAATAAAGACCAGAAAGTGGCTCAGAACTTGGGATAAATGCTAATTTTAAATAAAACTCAAAATTCCAGTCTAGTTACTCTGAATAAAGGCAAAATCAGTTGTGACTAAAAAAATGCAATGAAAACTAAATCAAACACACATACAAAATACTACAAGCTTCTGCAACTGAGTGTTTTTTCCAGCTGAGAAATATGGCCTTCAACTTAGGGTCAAGTTACGTAGATCTGAAAAGATTCTGATTTTGAGACTAGAAAAAAAAATGTGGTTCAGAAACATTTCCCACTAATCCATAAGGTATTGGATAGCTTACTTTAAATGTGGATTTATGTAGAAAAACAAACTTGCGATTGTTAGGTAATACTGAAAAGGTAGTCCATCACTTTCTTTTATTTAAATCTTTGTTTCCAAGTTTTCTTGCATCTATCCCAAGCAAATTAAACCTTTACTAAGAAGTCTTTTTATTTAAATATAGCATTACCTGCTGCCATCTCAACACCTCCATCACTTGTACCCAGTGACCACTCCATTGCCCAATTAAGTAGGAGAACTTCACTGACTGTACAATTTCTCCCTTATAATGATTTTTAGTTTCTGACCTATGCATACTTTCCCAGTTCAACTTTGATTGCATCAACTGAATTTGACAAAAATATATTAAGCACCTACAAGGCACCATGCTTATACCTGGTGGCAAAAAACAAAAAAAAAAATTCTTACCCTCAGGGAGTTTACACGAGACTGGGGAGTATGACATGTAAACAGATGAATCAATAAAAGATAATTTAACAGGGAAAATAATACTATTAACTAGGAGAATCAAAATAATCTTCTGCTAAGAGGCAACTCTCTTAGATCCCTAAGGGAGGGATCCTCTCACTCATCTCTAATAGTCAAACATTTATCAGATCCTGTTAGATTTATTCTCCACAATGTCTCTATGACCTTCCTCTCTATGACCACTGCCAATAGTCTAGTCAGGATAACCTGGGTTCAAGCAGTGCCTCTGATGTATACTAGTTATGTGACCCTTGGCAGATCCCCTAACCTCTTGGAGCCCCAAGCATTTCTCTAGGATGCTAGGTTATATTTATTCAGATTTATTTGTATCAGTGGAAGGAGTTTCTACACCACAATTTCTCCACATTCATGAAATCACAAGTCCACACCCATCTGCCCCCCCAAAAAAGCGTTATTATTCCATGATCTCATTTCCACCTACCTAGATTATTGCCCTTGTCTTTTTCCAGTTCTTCTAATGACCAATCTCTCTCTTCCTCCTCCTCTAATCCATCACATGCTACCTGAATATGATTCTTTCTGCTTAGCTCTGGTGATTTCTCTCCTCTGTTTATAAGTCTTCAGTGATACCTTATTGTCTGCCACATTCAAACGTCTCTCATTGCCTCCACAACAAAGCACCAAACTATCTTTCCAACCCTTCTTGTTTTCTGTACTACTTGTGGCAGCTAGGTGGCCCAGTGGATAGAGCTCTGGGCCAGGGGTCAGGAAGACCTGAGTTCAAATCCAGACACTTACTAGCTATGTGACCCTGGCCAAGTCATTTAACCTCTGCTCGCTACCTCAGTGGTTAAGTAGGGATGATAATATCACCTACTTCCAAGGGTTCTTGTGAGGATCAAATGAGATGATATTTGTAAAGTGCGGAGCAATGCCGGGCAAATGGTAAGTACTTAATAAATCCTTATTTCCTTCCTTCTACACTCCAGCCAAGCTGGATGAATCTCTGTCTGCAGAACACACGCTTTTTTTGCCTTTGCCCAGTATTCCCTGTGTTTGGATGCCCTCCCTCCCTTTCTTCACCTGTTGGATATCCTATCAATCTCTTAATGCCAATCTCAAATGCTACCTCTTCCAAAAAAGCCTTACTTGGCATCTCCTGATTGCTAAGGTCCTTCCTTCTTAAACTTCACATGTTGCTTTATTTTCAACTTTCTTACATACTTAGCTATATAACATATGCTGTTACACTTTGGTATTGGTGTCAACATCACCTCCCATGCCGTAAGATACTGAGGGCAAGGACCATGACTACTAAAAACTTTATACCTCCCTCCTAAGCTGGCAAATAGGTCCTTGACACATGCCTGATACTATTGTTCTTCCGTTGATACTACAGTGCCACAGTATAATCTCTCATAATACCCTTCTGAACAGTTTCAATAATTGAGAACTTGATGGCAGTACAGCTAGGTAGATTTGGAATTGGTTGAACAGTCAGACCCAAAGAATAGTCATTTTCCATGTCAATGTGAATTACGGACTCTGATGGAGTGCCCCAAGAATCTGTCTTTGGCCCTGTTCTGTTTAATTTTGATCAATGAGCTAGATAAGGGCGTAAATGGAATGCTTATCCAATGTTTATATGCCAGCAGGGAGAGTTAATATATTAGATTACAGAATAAGTATTCCAAATCTCTCAGTTGGATAGATCAAAGATTAAATTTAAAGATAAATGTAAAGTCCTACACTTGGGTACCTAAAATCAGTTTGGAAACTATAGAATGAGAGAGACACGATTAGATAACAGTTTATCCAAAAAATACCTGAGGATTTTATTGTAATAGAAGCCCAATTTTGGTTGTGACATTGCAGCCCTAAAAAGTTAATATAATTCTTACCTGGCATTAAGAGAGAAAAGTAATTATCCTCTTGTCCTTTGCACATTTCAGATCGTGTGCAGGGTAAAGGTCTCAAACACATGGCCCAAGGGCCACATGCAACTCACAACACTTCTAAGTGCAGGCAGAACCAGATTAAAATGTAATTGGGAAATCCTTTACCAAATAAGTCAAAATACAATAAAAAGTAGGTAACATTACATTTTTAAGACAAATTCAATATGTGGCCTGCAGGGATCCTATGCATGTTTCAGTGACCTTTATTTCTATCTGATTTTGACACCTTTGGCCTAGAGTATTGTACGCAGTTCTGTTGCTAAATTTGAGAAAGGGCATTCATAAGCTAGAGAGTATTAAGAGGGAATCCAAGATGGTGAAGGAACTGCAAATGTTCCCATAACAGGATGGATTGAAAGAAATGGAAAAGAAGATTTATTAAGGATGGTGGAATTAACTTGTCCTTATTGGCCCCAGAACTAAGCAGAACTAAGAGCAAAATGGAGAAAGTTCAGAATCCATGTAGGGTGATTCTAAGAAACTTCTCTTAATGATTAGAACTATCTAAACTTTGGGAGGTAATGGGTTCACTAGCATTCTTTTAATGGAAACTGTATGACCAGCTGGGAGATTTTTAGGAGGCATTCTTGTTAAGGCATAGATTGTATTAGATAGCCTCTGAAGTCCCTTCCACTCTAATATTTTGTTTTTCTATGGAATAAAGGGAGCAGCTAGGTGGCACAGTGGATAGAGTACCAAACCTGGAGTCAGGAAGATTCATCTTTGGCAGTTCAAATCTGGCCTCAGATACTTATTAGCTGTGTGACCCAAGTCACTTAACCCTGTTTGCCTCAGTTTCCTCATCCATAACATGAGCTGGAGAAGGAAATGGAAAACCACTCCAGTATCTCTGCCAAGAAAACCCCAAATGGGGTTATAAGAGTTGGACGTGACTGAAATGACTGAACAACAACAATGAAATAAAATTAAGTTAATGACAATTCTCATTTAATTGAAGAGCTAGATGGGAAAATAGAGTATCATCTAGTCTAACCTGTTTACTTTATGTACAAGAAAAGTGAGGCTCTGGGAAATTAGTCATTTGTTTAAGGTTATATAGCTAATAAGTTGAAGAGTTGGGCTATTACCAGTGTGTAGTTTATAATGGGGAAAGCCTAATGGCCACAAGGTGGGCCATCATTCTCCAAGACTGTTTGTTATACATGAGACAGAATGTTAGATGCTTATAGCATATGATCAAGTCACCTTCCTTAAAGTTATCATGGCAAGCGGAAGTATTAAGTATTATACTAGTATGGTGTTGGGGGGAGAAGAGGGGAAGAGGTCTATATTTAGTATGAAAAAACTTGGTTACCAATTCTGACTTCTCCAGTTTACTAACCTATGACTATAGGCCTATGACCCTATGAGCCTCAGCTGTCTCATCTGTAAAACGGTGATGATACTACTTGTATAACCTACTTCAAAATTGTGAGAAAATACTTAATGGCTATAAAATATAATAGTTTATTATCAATTTTGTTGCTATTGTTTTGCTCCAAAAGCTGACATAGTCATGTTAATCTCTAAGATATCAGCAAATGAGAAAAAAACTTACTTTTTCATCTGCTGATTGTGTTTCCCTGAATGAAGATCATTACACTGAGTTGTAATTATGGTACTTTCCCTCTGGATATGTTCCCAATAACTTGAGATAAATGAATTCTCCTGAATTTCTGAGCCAAATGGGTAGGGTTAGTTCAGTGGAAAATGAATGCGTTATGCTTCATGAATTAATCCTTATTATTTTTGTGTATACAGAAGACTGGCCTCCTGTGCGATTAATAAATGGGACGGGAAGATGTTCAGGTCGGGTGGAAGTTTACTACCAAGGAACCTGGGGTACAGTGTGTGATGACCACTGGGAACTGAAGGAAGCAGGTGTGGTGTGCAGGCAGCTCGGCTGTGGACAGGCTCTTTCTGCTCCTCATGGGGCCCACTTTGGCCCAGGCTCAGGGAAAATTCTCCTGGACAATGTGCAGTGCAGTGGAG